AAAAAAGGAGGAGAAAAGCAAAAAGCAAATTACTAATTTCTCTTAGTTCATTGGGGAGAAGGGTTTGTGCTACTCTTGTCTGGACAATTAAATGCCAATGTCTTGTACTCTGATTTAAAGAGAACAATATGCAATGTGTTAACCATTGTCACTCTCCAATCATCTTGCTTTGAAATTTAGTTTGGGGTTTTTTTTTCTCTTAAAAAAATTTTAAGCTTTTGTCTTGATGGCATTTGCTGGGTGGCTGCCTTGGCAAGCTTGCTCATTTCCAAGAGACTGGCACAAAAAGGAGAACTCCATGCAGAAATTTCTTCTCTGTCATGTGCCTCCAAGCCTGGCCTGCAGGACAGTGTGGGCATTGACTGGACACTTGTCAGAGGTGTAGAATTTTGGATCCCACTTCAAATTCACTGAATCCAAATCTGCATTTTTAATAAGATTCCCAAAGTCTGTGAAGCATTGACCTGAAGAACTTGAAGAATTTCCAAGTGGCAGCTTCAGAAACGCCCACCAGATGGCAGATTTGCAGCAGGCACAGGGAGCTGGAGCCACCATTGGGCAGCAAGGCTCCTTGTGTAATCATCCTCTTAAGTGTGTACAAGTGTGGGGCCTTTGCTCAACACAGGCGAGAGTGCAGTGGGAGGAGGCGCAGAACAGCCCCAATCCGAGGACGGCAGACTGTGACTGTGAACCATGAATCCCTCCTAGCGGGGCATGCCCCAGTTGTCTTCACGGTCTGAAGAGAGTTATTGCTCTACTCTCATTTTATGGGCAAAGAAATTGAGCCCCAGAGAGGGAAAAACACTTAGACAAGAGCTTAGCAATAGTAAATCTGTTGGAGCCACAGGTGGAAGGCTGGTGTCTGGCTGCAGGGCCCGGGCCCAGAGCCCCTCTGTAGGGGCGGGGCACGACAGGTTAGTCACACAGCACAGCTTGTCCACCCTCTCCTTCCTCCTAACTGCTCTTTGAGCCACCCTCTTGTTTCCTCTGAGAGTGCTAGAAGCTGCTGTTGTGATAATTTAGATTATTAATGAGGGGGTCTTTTCCACAATACTCAGGGTGCAGATGTAGGAACAAAACATTGGTTTTAATGGGGACCAAGCAGGATCAGCTTGAGACTCCAGCAGGTCCTCTGGACATCCTGGGGTTCCCAAGGCTCCAAGCAGCACTGACTGCGACCCAGTGACTTTCTCAGAGGCTCTGAAGAACATTCTTCCAATCACTTTAGTTTTGCCCTTTCAGTTATGAGAACAAAGATTCATCTGAGCAAGACCCAGTGCATTTCTCTCATTCTTTTGGATACATTTGAACTGATGAGAGAAATCTCATAGAATTAAAACATGGAAGTCTTGATAGGGTTGAGGTCATCTGAGCTTGAGCAATGTGTGTCACAGTATAAGAAAATTAAAAAAAAATTGTTAGAGGAAGCAAAGGGTTAAAATGATCTTCATTTCTATTATTAATTATTAATAAGAATGTTAAATTAGTACTGCCTTTATGGAAAACAATAGGATGTTCCTTAAATAGATTAAAAAGACAACTATCACATGGTCCATCAACCCTGTGTGTGTGCGCGTGTGTGTGTCTTACTGAGAGTTGAATCCAGGGCTTTGCATATACTGGGCAAGCACTCTGACACTGAGCTACAGACTCAGCCTTTTGTATTTTTTACTTTGAGATATGCTCTTGCTAAGTTTCCCAGGCTAGCCTGGAATTTGTGATCCTCCTACCTCAGCCTCCCAAGGCTGGAATTCCTCTTAAAGCTGGAAGTACAGGCATGGGCCAGTGCACCCAACAGCAATCCTGCTTCTGAGTACATATCCAAAGGAAAGGAAATCTGTATCTCAAAGAGGCATCTGCACTCCCGTGTTCATTGTGGCATTTTCATCATAGCCAAGAGATGCAATCAACCTAAGTGTCTGTCAGTACATGAATGGACAAAGCAAATATGGTGTATATAAACAGGGGGTCACCATGGAGCCTTTAAAGGGGGTGACCCAGGCATTTGTAACAAAGTAGATGAACCTAGAGGACACTGCACCAAGTGAAATAAGCCAGGCACAGAAAATGCTGAGTGATCTCACAAATATGGGAAATCTTAAAACATAGCTCTCACAGAGGCAGAGACTAGAACAGTTGCTGTGGGTGGGGAGAGGGAAGATGACTGGGAGAGGTTGGTTACAGGGTACACAACCTCAGTTGAACAGGATGAATAAGTTCTGCAGATCTATGTACAGCATGGAGTCTGTAGTTAATGATACTGAATTACGTAGTTGACATTTGCTCACGAGTAGTGCTGTAAGTGCACTCACCACATACACAAGTGGTAATTCTGTGCCGTGACGGATATGTCAGTTATTCCACCATGTATATATACACAACATCACATTTTATTCCTTCAGTGTCAACTATTTTTATTTGACAATTATACCTCAAAGTAGGAAAACAATAACCATTATTAAGACTGGCTTTTACCACAGTGTTAACGCAGCAAGTCAGAAAGGGAAAAGGGAAAAGCAGAGACAAATAAAAAACATCACCAAAGAGCCTCCGAGTAACACACCTGTGTCATGACCACTTTCCTTTGCGTGGCAGAGGCCCCCCCACTCAGGGTGGCCAGGTTGGCAGGACTCTGGCCAGATCAATGATCCCAAAGAGCAGGGTCCTCACTCTAGAGATTTCCAGGGAAGAGGGGCTAACAGATCACCTCTCACTGTTCAAGTGCCCAGACCGTCCCTCAGGGGAACTTGGCTTTCTCTTTCCCCTTTTCTAGAAAGTCCACAAAAGCCTTCATCTTGGGATGTAGGTTGGTATTTTATAGACAATTCTACATGAAAAGAATCTCTGCCGCCACTCAGAATGTAGGCTAGAGCAGATTCTTGGAAATGTGGTGGCCAGACAACATACATATAACCTTTGGAGGTGTCTGTGACACAGGACCTGAGGTCTGCACACAGAGGTTTGTACTCAGATAAATCAAAGTATGTGGTGGAAATAATTATAATCAGTCTCCTGTACATTCCTTTAACACATGTCATGAATCCAGGGGACTGGGAATGGTGCAGGCAATGCAGTACATGGATACCCTAGGGACAGTGATGCTGGGAGGTGACTTTTCCATCGTCCCATTCCCCATCCCTACACTCATACCTACTGTCTTACTCCATTTTCCATTGCTATAACAAGATAGTCAAAGCTGGGAACTTTATAAAGAAAAGAGATTTATTTAGTTCACAGTCTTGGAGGCTGAAAATTCAGGATTGGGAAGCCCCCTCTGTTTGGACTCTAGTGAGAGCCTCATGGCAGAAGGCATCGTCATAATTGAAGTGCATCACGTAGTAAGACAGGAAGCCAGAGAGGTTCAGAGGCCACTCTTGCCCTCTGTGTAACTGCCCACTCTAACTGGCGATACAAGAGCTACATTAATTGCTTCTTGGAGTGACACTCCCAGTGACCTAACTCCCACTAAGTGTCACCTCTGAAAGGCTCCTCCTGTCTGACACCACTACCCCGAGGACCCACTAGAATATGTGAAGCTTTAGAGGACTTATTCAAAGGATATGCAACCATAGCTCCAGACATGGGACCTCAAAAGCATCCAATCTAAAACTCACAGCAGAGGAGAGAGACAGCCAGAGACCAGAAAAGGAGCTTCGACGGTCAGCCTATTCCCCGTTCCACTGCCATGTTTTGTCATTAGTTTTGTTTGTTTGTTTGTTTCAATTTATGCCTAGCATCATCCCTCAAAGAATTTAAGATAACCAAAAACTACATTTGAGAATCCAGGCTTTGTGGTACACACCATAATTCCAGCAGTTGGTAGGCTGAGGCTGAGGCAGGAGGATCATTGAGAGCTAGAGACCAGCCTGGACTACACAGTGAGACCCTGTTTCAAAGATACCTCAAAATGCAGACCATCACGATGGCCATTCATAGTTGTGGAAGTGAGATGTGAAACATCGTACTGAATCTCATGACAAAAACTCAGTTGTATAAGAAATAGCCATTTATTTCTTTGCTTTAATCAAATTAAGTATGACACCAAACCCCCATCTGAGCTTCAGCACAGAAGAGTGAGGAGTAAGAGGAGCCTCCGAGCAAAGGAGCTGCAGCCTGGTTATCAGGCTTGAAGCTGGGCTCCCTTTGAACAAATCTACACTATTTTTAAATGATTTTTGAGTCAAGTTATCTCCTTTCTTTTTTTTTGCTACTGAAGATCTTCTGCCTCATGTAGCATCCGATCTCTCCTGCTGTCAAGGCTGCTGCGGACCATGCAAGTGTCCAGACTCACAGTCTACTGAACCTGTGCCAGAGCAAGTCCACGGGGAGCAAGTCCAATGATGAAGGATGGGTGTGCAATTAAGGATCACTATAACTCTTTGCTTTCCCCCTAATTTTTTTCCAGTACTAGGGACTGAATTTAGGGCCTTTGTGTTGAGCTACAACAAAGCCCTTTTGTGTTGGTTACTTTCCTCTCATTGCTGAGAGAAAACACCTGACACCCAGAATTAAGGAAGGAAAGGTTTATTTAGCTCACAGTTTGTGGAGGTTTCAGTCCATACTCAGCTGCTCCAAGGCAGAGTGCCACGTGGCAGAAGGCAACCATTCATGGCAGCAGAAGACAGCAAAACCAACAAGAGCAAAAAGGTGGGAGTGGAGAGAGCAAGCCTCTTTCCCTCCCTTACATTGTATACAGGCTACCTGCCCCAGGGCGGGTGTAGCACTCACACCCATAATCTCAGGGACCATAGATCAATTACAAACTCTAGAAGCCCACATCATGTCTTCATGAGGCTTTGGGGGGACATCTAGACACAAATCATGACACTTTTTTTTTCTTTTTCTTTTTTCTTTTTTTTTTTTTTTTGGTCTTTTTGAGACAGGGTTTCACCATACAGTTCAGGCTGGCCTAGAACTCACTTTGCAGTCCAGGCTGGCTTCAAACTGGAAGCGATCCTCCTGCCTCAGTCTCCTGAGTGCTGGGATTACAGGCATGCATGACCATTTTCAATTTTGAGACAGTCTCACTAAGTCACTAAGTTGCGCAGGCTGTATTCAAACTTGTGATGCTCATTCCTCAGGCTTTCAAGAGTTCTGGGAGTACAGGAATGTGCCATCCTGTCCAGCTTTTATTGCATTACAGTCTGGGCACATCCATAGGCATGTTGGTAGGTGTTAATGGTAATGGTATGGGTTGTGTGGGAAAGAAAAGATTAGGGCTACTGCCTCTGATATGCAGTCCTACACCACTGTGAGATTGCAGCTGCAGTAGGGAGAGAAGACTGCAAACATTTCTGTATCTCCTCACACATAAGGCTATGGTAAGACCTCTCTTTTCTTGGAGCTAAGAGTGGAGAAGAATCCATAATGGTCCAATCGCCAACACATCATGAGAGTGTGAATGTTATTTTTCTTACTACACAAAGGCCTCTGGGATACCACCAAAGTAGGCACTACCTCCAGCCATTCTACACAAAGTCAAGTAGTGCAGAGAAAGAACCCAGTGCCGCTGAAACCAGCTTTTGCATTTGTCGCTTAGCTTTGCATAAATCAGTGGCTCCTTACAGATATGTACCAGCCTTGGTAGTAGAAGACATAAGGTAACCATTCATTTTCTAGCATAAAATAGTTATGGTATGAATAAATGCTAGTAACTAGCCAGCATCTCCAGAAATGTGAAGGCTCTTTCCTTCTCAGTTCTTAAAGGAAGCTTCCATTGTTTATGAAAAGACAGAGGAAAATAGTATATATTTTTTTTCAATCCTGGTCTCAAGGTCCATGGTACAGACCCGAGAAAAGTTTTTTTTACTCTGAGTTACCTCCTCCCATAAGTAGGAGTGTGGAGGTCAAGCATTCTGTCAGTCATAGTTTAATGGCATCACTCAGTTAGGTGTTTTTGAGCCACCAGGCTCTTCACAGCAGCCTTCACATCCTTGTTTCTTAGACTGTAGATGATGGGGTTCAGCATGGGGGTCACCACCCCATAGAAGAGGGAGATGAGCTTGTCTGTGAGGTCCTGCTTATCTGCCCCCAGTGGGTCTTTGGACTTGGGCTTCCCATACATGAAGAGAATGGTCCCATAGAAGACAACCACAACAGTGAGGTGGGCAGAGCAGGTGGAGAAGGCCTTTTTCCTGCCCTCAGCTGAGGGGATCCTCAGGATGGTGGTGAGGATGAAGACATAGGAGACAAAGATGAACAGAACTGGCACCCCCAGGAAGATCACATTGGCCACCCCCATGCTGATCACATTGATAGAGATGTCAGCACAGGCCAACTTCAGGACAGCCAAGATCTCACAAGTGAAGTGGTTGATGACATTGTCCCCACAGAAGGGCAGTCTCATTGCCTGAGATGTCTGTACTACAGAGTTGATGATACCAGCTGCCCAGGAGCCAGCAGCCATGGGCACATAAGCAGCCTTGCTCATGACCACAGGGTACCTAAGGGGACTGCAGATGGCCACGTAGCGATCAAACGCCATCATGCCCAGGAGCACACACTCTGTGGCTCCCATGGAAAAGGACAGAAACATCTGCCCAAAGCAGGCTGAGAAGGAGATGGTTTTCCTGGGAGTGAGGAAGCTGTCAAGAATGAGGGGGACGGAGGAGGTCGTGTAGCAGATGTCCAGGAAGGAGAGGTTCCCCAGGAAGAAGTACATGGGCGTGTGCAGGTGGGAGTCCAGGATGGTCACCAGGATGAGGACCCCGTTGCCCAGCAGAATCACCAGGTACATTGACAGGATGAGCACAAAGAACGCTTTCTCCAGTTTTGGGTGGGCTGAGAGACCCAGGAGAATGAATCCAAATACAGAGGAGGTCTCATTGTATCTGTCCATGGTGCATCAGTTCTGAAACCTACAAGAACCTGAAGGGTCACAGTCCATGTTCTCTCACCCTAAAAGTGCCCAGACAGCCAGACAGCAAACCTTGCCCTGCTCAACAACAAAAGAGTAACCTTGATGATTGACTCACCTCTCTGGGCTTGATCCACGTTTAGCTTCAATGTCCACTGACAACTAACAAGTTAATTTGTAGTAACCTTTCTGCAGACTACTGATTAGAAAAGCTGGGCAAAATAGATGAAACATCTGTGTGAAGCACTGGAGAGGTTATAAGACAATGGGGCATCCATCAGGTCATGATTCTGGGAAAAATAGACCTGGCAAAGGTGGTCAGACACTTGAAGTTGTGTTTCAACTGCAGCACATGCAGCACTGGAAGAGGCCATGGAGAGGCCACAAAGGTCCACTAACTGACACGTGAGCATGAGGAGCAGCTTTTGAAGTCCAAGGTTCACCGTGCTGGGACTCTACCTCAACTTCCTCCCTTTGGGATGGGACTGAAAGGGCAGCATCACAGGAATAAGGGAAAACCAGAGGGAGACAGACAGCTGTGAGTGCTGTACTTCAAATCTTCTCAAGCCCTGAAACTGGACTGAGCTGGTCCAGTTTTCAATGTTCCCAAATACCTAAGAGAAGCAAGCACAAGTCTATGCTGAAGAAACGTAACATCACCCCCATAACTAAACCATTTCTACAAACAATTTTGCAAATACAACCGCTGGCACACATTTAAAAAGAATAAAGCACACAGGGAAACAGCATAAATAAAAACAAACAGAAAATAAAGTGACCCTTTCCTTGGTGTGCATGGGAACCAGGACAGCTCCGGGGACACCTACTTTGATAATCTGCCTAGACCACTTTGATACCACAGTGCCAAGGTCCTAGCAGCCTGTTGATCCTTTTGTACCCTCAGGGATGTGAAGGGATCCTTTGTGCCTGTGGTGAAGTTACAGGAGTGTTTGACAGAATCTTCTCTCTTGCCTGCATTCTTGGTCTGCCTGACTAGAGGCTCTGCTTAGTTCACAAAGTCCTGGTCCTGCTCTGGTAGATCTTTTTTCTGGGAAGGTTACCTTTTCTGTTTAAATTCTAAGTTGTCTCCAAACTAGAATTTTTTTCCCAGGACCCGTAAAAAATTTGTTTGCAACTTTGAAGGTGCTGGGCATTTGGTTTTATTTGCACTGCATCTAAAAGGTGGTTATTGGAGCTTCCCAGATAGTTATTTCTCCAAGAGTGGTCCGTGTTCTGGCCCCTTCCTCAGTTGTTGCAGGGACACTTCATGCCTGGGAAGATCTGAGGCACTCCTCTGTTGGTATTTAGCGCATAATAACTGTGACCAAGTCAGTGCCTGAAGATTTCAGTCCAGGCTAATTGGCATTTAATGGGCATCTGCTATATGATGTAGGCGGGCTTTTGGTGCTGGGGACACAGCAGCAAAAGGCACAGCCCCTGGACTCAGTCTAATGACGAAGGAGTCTGTGAACAAATGACAGCATCAGCATCACTAATGTGACTCTCAGCCATAACAGGCAGCCAGTTCTCACAACAGCAGGCCCTGGGTCTATTTAGCAATCTGCTCCTTTGCCCTCTGTAAAGCTCCTTGCTTTATAGATCCGGCGTGATCGGTCTGGAGTATAAACTTGACTGAGTGATACGGGGCTCTTTATCTCCCAGAGCGGCTCAATTCATTTTGAAGTGATTATCCTTCGACATGGAGCTGGACTCTGCCCCCCTGCCACTTACCTGGCCCCATCACCTGCCGCTCCCAAAGGCAGCTAACTCTTCCACGCAGCAGCCCTCCAGACACCGAGGAATAGCCTGACTTCAGCAGGAAGATACACAAGAATCAGCCTCCCTTTCTTCCTAGGGCCTTAAAAACTAGAAATACCCGTGAAAGGTGAATGTGTTACTCAGGAATTGACTACAAGGGCAGATGCCGAGAACGGTCCCCAGCCTGCAGACGGCCTGGGTGCCCAAGACAGACGCTCCCGCGATGAACGGGCAGCGGCGGTAAGCAGCCGCGACCCGGTTCTCACTCCGCGCCGGCCAGCGCCCGCCGTCCCGGCACTGGCCCCGTGCGGACGGGGTTCCCGCGGCGGCGGCCGGGGCGGGGCTCGGCTCACCAGTGCTGCCGGACTTCGGGCTCTCGAAGCAGGAGCCGGACAGCCTCAATAAAAAGGGGGCGCTGCTGGGAGGAAGAGGCCGCCGGCTGTGGGGTCGCCGCGAAACTCCTGCGTCCAGCGACCGCTGTGCCGGGTGCGCTCGGCGGCGTCTGCGGAGGCCGAGTCGGCGGCAGTCCTGTCCGCCGGGGCCCTCACTCCGCCCGCGGCGAG